ACTGAACTTAAAAATTAGTTTTATGGTATGCAAATTATACCTCAGTTTTTTCTTTTTAAAGCACGAGTTTGGCATCTCTATTTCAAATGCAGAGATCAACAGGGGTCTGGTGTTGAGCCTTGTTACTATCCGATTAAGATTCTGTAATAGTAACTTCCACTTTGTTTATACCTGGCCTTGACCTAGGGATTTGAGGAGAGCTCATGTTAGACTACAGACAGAGCTGTTCTGAGTTCCAGATTGAATGTGTTGGGACCATGTCCTGTTTCTCTGTTTCTCTATTTCTCTGTTTATCATATTTATTTCCATATAGCTTAGATAGAACACATCTTACAGACTGAATTCAATGCTACAGTCTGTGTCTTATCTCTCTTTTCTTCTTAGGGAATTAATTTGCTAGCATATATCAGTGGCTCTAAAGAAGTCATCATTGTCAATGGATTCCAGTGAGAGTGACTCTGAGGAGTTGCCAACATTTACTTTTCTAAAGAAGAAACCATCTTCAACAAAAAGGCTGCAGCCTCAGAGGGAGGAAATTGTAGTGGTTGACACCTCAGATTCTGAGACTTCCTGTCGTCCATCACCAAGGTTGAAAGGTCAACCACCTATCCTTCATGCAGCTGAAACCGTCACACAAACAGAGCCAGTCAGGGTGCTAAGCAGTGGAAGTGAGGTTGAGGAGGAAATTATTCCCCTGGCTGAGAGGCTTACATGTAAGTTTTTGTCCCACAAGCAGCTGAGCCCTGAGGACTCTAGCTCCCCAATTAAAAGTGTTTTGGATCATGAAAGTAATGAAGGAGGATCACGTGACTGGAAAAAACAGCCCTTTCCAAAGATCCCTGATGTTCCCTTCCATGTCACCTCTGAAAGGTGTGCATCAAATAACAAGGACTCTGTGGTAGACAGTCCATGCCCCCAGCTTCCAGCCCACCACACCACCTGTCCCATCCAGAGCAACAGCCTGACAGTAACCAGAACAAACGTGGTCTCCCCGCCTCAGAAGAGAACCAGGCGCAGTCAGAAGGTCCAGAGGAAAGGTTCCCAGGGATGCCAGCCACGGGGACAAGCAAGCCAGAGGGAAAGCACCCTGAGACAACAGGAAAGGAAGAAGAAGGCCGCACTGGTTACCAGACTGAAAGCTCTCAGGCCAGAGGAATGCTTGAGGCACATTGTGGTGGTGCTGGATCCAGGTCCTCTGAGCGATTGTCTTCACTCCATGCTGAGTTACCTGCCTCCTGGACCACCCACTGACGGCCCCTTTCCCATCTGTTGCAGGGCTTTTACAAATGGCAGGTGGGGGCCAGCTCCTTGGGGCACTGCAGTCCATGGGGTGCTGCTGTGGGATTGAGGCCCAGGCTGTGCCTGGCAGCATCACCTGGAGGAGAAAGTCTGGGCCCACTGAGGTAGGGGTTTTCTGGCACATGTCTCTCCTCCTCCTTAGAGTTATAGGATAAATATGCTTTCATTCTAAAGGCTGTATTAGGGTCCCAGCAGGAAAACAGATGGCACAGTCAATTTAGGATAATTTGAGGGTGATGTAATAAAGGGACTATTTTCCAAAGCATCACGATGGGACAAGGAAACGATAGGGACAACACAGTGCCTCAGGGTAGTAACAGCATTAACTCAGGGTTTCTCACCTCAGGAATTGTTGCATTCCAGGTCGGAGGGTTCTCTGTTGTGCTGGCCTGTTCTGTGCTCTGTAGGATGCTTCGCATCATCTCTGGCATCTACCTCCTAGATGCCAGTGCACCCCTCCCCATTGTGGCAATAGAAAATGTCTGCAGATGTTGCAAAATGTCCCTTGTGGGGAAAATCACCCCTGGTTGAGAACCTCCTGCATAGCTGTTACCATGCCTAGGGCCTGAAGGGATGAGGGGAGGAAGTGGTTACCAGGAGAGAGAGATGTAGAAAGGACCCACCTTGAAAAAAATCTGTCTCCATCAGGGTGCATAGCAAAACCTTGGTGACCCCATTGCAAGGAAACCAGGGAAATACCCTGACTTTTTTTTCTTCCCTCCCTCCGAACTCCTGCTGTGTTCCCCACTAGCCAAGCCCAGCCAGAAGACATGCTGACCTTGTGATGTGGTTTGTAGAGGTCTCCCTCCTCTGGCAGAGAGCAGAATGGGGAAAAGTGGAGAATGGGTCTGTGGGGCGGAGGGAAGAATCAGCACAGCATTACTGGTTTTAACTGTGCTTTGGGAATGGGCAGCTTAGATGTGAATCCCAGCCTCATGGCTTTATTGCTGTGACCATGGGCAAATCATTTCATTTCTTTGTGCCTCATATGTACAATGAGGACACTGTTACAACCCTTTTCAGTTCTCCTGCTGTGGGGACAGAATGATACAATCACTGAGCACACAGTAGGCACGCAGTAAATGTTCCTTCCCTGAACGGCTGTGCAGTGACTAGGACAGCTCCTGTACCTTC